TCATTCCTTCCTTTCAGACGACATTCTTCGAGACTTAAATGTCGAAGGAATATTAATGAAAAATACTGCATGATTGAACTCTTTAAAATAAAATAAAAAACAGGGGCGTGACCATTTTATGAACACTTTACAGAATAAGATGTCAGTCTGATACAATCACGACTTGCCGAGGTTTGTAGTCGAATCAGGGTCACGGTGCCTTTGAGTGCCAGGACGCCGCCATGACACTTCTTAAATATGGTGATATCAGAACAAAGGCGATATATCCAGAAGGCAAAGGGGAGTTAAGGGTGCCCTTCCCTAAAATTTAAACGCTACTCTAGAGAGACAAAATTTTTGAAGTAGTTTTTTAAATACCCGATTGAATTAGCTTGTTTAATTTCAGACATCTTTGTTTGAGGTGAAAACATCACAATAAAAGAGTTTCTTGCAACCTGATATTGCAAATCGGGCCGTCCACAATTTCAAGCTTGCCTGAAGTTTGTATTTCCTGTACCACGCTTATTCTTCAGTCTCGACGTTCTCTATCTTGGAGTCAAAGTTGAAGGTTTTGTGGAAAGCGTTCAAAACAAAAGTACAACCCACCGCGTGTCATGAGCAGGGCCAGTTCTAGGGCTTCTGGGGGCAGGACCTCCTTATCAATAAAACTCGATAATCATGTACCTCAAAACGGTTTTATAACCCAGTAAAAGCAGTATGCAACAAAATATATTACCTGTTGTGTTTTTATTTAAGGAACTAACTAACTAACTAACTAGATGGCTTACCGAACCCGAAGGTTCATCACCGAATTAACCAAAGCCCTCCACCGGACCCTGTCCTGTGCCAACAAAATCCATTCTCCATCAACTCCTATCTCCCATAGATCCCGCCTGACATTATCCTCCCCAGCGGTCTCTTCCCCTCAGGCTTCCCGACCAATACCCGGTGCACACCTCTTGTCCCATCCATGCGCGCTACATGCCCAGCCCATCTCATTCTTCTCGACTTAATCACCCTCACAATACTGGGGGAGGAGTACAGATTTTTAAGCTCGTCATTGTGCAGTTTTCTCCACGCCCCATCGTCTTTTCTCCTAGGCCCAAATATCCTCCTCAACACCCGATTCTCAAACACCTGCAATCTGTGTTCCTCCATTTCCAAAAAAACTAAAAACAAAACCAGTTCATCTACTGGAAAATAACAGGTAAAGGACTCATTCTTACACAAAAGGTTTCAATGGGATATGTCAATCTTTTGTCGTAAATGTCAAAGCCCGTGAGAGATGCTGACAATTTTGAAACTCGTTATGCAGTTAAATCCATCCTTCTGCTACGTTCTCCGTCTTATTTTAATGAGGAATTTATTTACAGAGGAACAAGTGATGAATTGCGACACAACATAATGAGGCAATGTTCATATTAAAAAAAGGTACAGCGGCTTCACTGATAAAGTTTAACGCAACTGTCACTTACCGGCTTCTGGCTGGAACTGCATGACTCAACGCCAAGCTCCACAAGGTTTTCCCATGAAAACAATAAAAACAACTTACCTTTGTTAGCAGATCCTGCCGGGAGCCGGGATGTGACATTTGCGTATAAAATTTATCGGTGAATGCACTGCGCTGAAAATACTCTACTGATTTTCCCATCTTATGAATTTCCGTCTTGATTACAGGGATGCAATAGCTAATTATAGGCGTACCTTTAAATCTTATATCTGTAAATCGACCGAGGAATAGACACTGAAACATCTCTTTATAATATAAGCTCTAATAAAGAATTTTGCCCTTCGTAACCCTAATAAATTCCTCAAATATTATTTGTGGACAACGATATTAAAATTTTCTCGAAAGTAATCTCTACCAAGCTTTGTTTATCTTTTAGTCTAATTACAATTAACCATTTTTCAAAGTAAAATTTGTATTGTGATACTTTCCGGAACGTGTATCTGTCATATGAGTGGAGTGATTGAAACCTGAAATCGTATCACGTCAAGATTTGACGAGTGTTTGGTGATGGAGATGGATGATGTTATAATCACGATAACTGTCCGAAAGTGTGTCATTTGTAGTTTCTAGAACTTCGGAGACTATTTTCAGGTCTATACAGAAACCAGCGGAAATTATAATTTAATTGATAATTATTTAAATTAGTGATCCGTTTGCAATTCCCATACAGGCACTAGTTGAATTATTATTTCTCACTAAGTTGGGTAAATCAGAGGTCTGCCTGGAATTTGAGTGGCGTCCTTTCCGAATCTCTGCATGAAATACTCAGGCCCTTCAGAAAAATAAGGAGGGGATATAATAATATAATAAATAATAAATATAATAAATAATGCGTACCTGTCCCGATTTGTTGTCGGAGATATCAGACATAACCTCGCTTGAAACTAAGTAATTTAATTGTTTAATTTTAACCGTCTAATCACAATAAAATATTTTATTAAATATTAAAATATTATTATTACAATTAACATTTAATATTTAAAATATATTAATATATTTTAAATATTAAATGTTAATTGTAATAATAATATTTTAATATTTAATAAAATATTTTATTGTGATTAGACGGTTAAAATTAAAATTAAACAATTATAATCATCACAATATGACGCAACGTTATCATCTCATAAGTAATTTAAGTAGACGTAAAATAAATGAATAATTAATAATCCTGTCAGAACATGGCTGTGTTCTGGTTTGTTGCGCCGTGTAGTCTGGTAGAAGTTTACCGACGTTTCAGAGGTCCTTGCTGCCTCCATCATCAGGGCGATGACTCATGACCTCTGAAACGTCGGCCAACTTCTACCAGACTACACGTCGCAACAACCCAGAAGACGGAAATCTTCAGACTCACCGCCGTGAAAACCTCAAATCTTATATGGATAATCCTGTAATTTTCCATTTGTCGAAAAAATCTCAGATACGCTAAATGAACTGCGAGTTACAATTAGAAATAAATGTAACTCGAATCACTAATAGCATCGACATCATTTGTAACTATAGAGCTGTAGTGACAACATGAAGTCAGTCTTGACATTCCTGGGGGTAAAGGTCTTGGATTAAAAATTCAATCCTGAATACAAGGAATCTTAAATCAGAATATCAGCTAATAATTACGAATCAAAGTTCTTCGGTCACGTGATGGCAAAATCAGAAAACATGTTTATATGACTTACGTGCTGCAAATCATGTTTATGGGTTATCTTTTGCATTAGACAATGGTTAGTCGGTTATTTAGCTACGCTGTATCAACTACGCAGTTTTTTTTGTAATGTCCAAAGAGGAATGTGAGAATGATTGTGTTTGATGGAACGGGAAGAAGTTTTAACGTGCTATCCCGGCATTTCCCGGATAAAA